CAGGTGCTGCTTCTGCTGCTATTTGGTAAAGGACCACAGAAGGGCCTGGGGAGGAGGGAGAGCTATTGCAGGGGGGCTGCCTGGGGTGCATCTTCTCTTAAAACCAGTACCTAGTGCTGAGTTTGAGTAACAGGAACCTGGATCCAGGACAGAGAAGGTGACAAGCCGTAGGGGACTCTAGCTGCAAGAAGGAGCTCCATGCGAATCAGGCAGGTCCTCCTGAGAGTGACCTCAATCAGCAGGGTGGGGCAGGGGGAAGCCAGCTGCCTTAGTGATGAGTGAGTTCCCTGTCCTGAGAGAAAAGTGAGCAGAGCTGGACAACCACCTATAAAGAGCTTCTAGGTAGGAAAGGGGAGTAGATTACAGGGTCATGGGGAAAGAAGTTCAAATAAGATTTCAGGGAGGTGGGCTCTGAAGGCTGAGTAGGAGTTCTCTGGGTGGATAAGGTAAGGATGATAGGTTGGGCAGGGGAAACATCTGCAAACCTGGAGGCATGAAAAACCATGAGCATTCCAAGAACCACTTTAGTAAGGAGAGTAGCTCCGACTGTGGAGCCAAGTACGTTCCAAGTACCTGATGAACATTGCCACATTTAGTCCTCACAGCAACCCTCTGAGTGTGATGAGGAATTGAGATGCTGAGAGTTTAGGGGATGTCCCCAGGTCACACAGGATTCCACTGCAGACCTGATTTTGAGCTAGAGGGACTTAGGGGGTGGGAGCTGGGGCTGCAGAGGTCTGTGGGGCCCGATGGAAGAGACAGGAGACTTGCAGGGCCCAGGACTCAGAGCGGAGGGAGCTCTAAGGCCTTGTTCTCCCAAGATGCAGGGCCCAGGGCAGCCCAGGCCTCAAGTAGGAAGGGCCCAGACACATGGCCTGGGCAAGCCAGCATCTTCCTAGACAGCCGGCACCACTGTGAAGGGGCCCTCACCTCCTGAGACTGGGTGCTCACAGGTGCCAGCTGCTTTGGCAGGTGGATACAAGGGCTGGGAGGGTGAATGAGAGGGGCTCCCAGGGGAAGGCACCCTGGCCTTGCCCAGCCTTCACCTCCCTCTCTCCATAACTGGCCTCTGTCCCACTTCAGTGTGACCCTGGGTCCACAACTTGTGAGATCAAGTCTGGCGGTGAGGAGCTGCTTCTGTCCTCAGGAGGGCCCTGGGGCTCTGGGTTTGGTGACCTGGCCCTGGCACAACTGGCAAGGCCTCTCTCTCACCAGCACTGTGCAGCCTGTCTCCTTGGCTGCCCCACCCCAGTCTTCCCTCCTCCATGGCAGCTCTTGAAACCGATTTTGGTAAGAATAGGACCAGATTCCTGGGATGGCTGAGAGACAAGGGGAGGCAGCCAGGCAGTGGGGCTCAGTATCCCAGGGACATGGGTATGTGGGGGTGGGGGTGGGGGTGGTGGTGGTGCTGCTGACACCCTGCTATCCCTGAGCCAGCTTCCAGCCCCAGCCCTGTTGGATGGCTGACACTGGGCACCACCTTGTCCACACTACTTCCTGTCCCCTCCTAGGCTTCAGGGTGTCCTAGAACTCAACAAGCTAGAAGAGTCCCTGGTGAACCTGTGCAAAGGTCCAGTTTAAGATGGACATGGGACTGAAGTATGTCCAGAAGGACCAGAAGCCCAGGGAAGTGTCTGTGGATGGACAGAGTTGGCAAAATGTTAACCAGCCTGGCCTACTCTTGCTCACATCTCTACATTCCACCCCCAAAGCTGCAGTCTCCTGCTGATACCACTGCACATTAGCCCCTGTAGGGAGGACTTTCCTCTCCAACCTGGCTGTGCTGGTCTGAAGGACAGCTTGCCCAAGGACTCCTACTGTGCCAGGCCTGCCAGGGGCCCACCTGAACTGGTGGTAAGGATTCTAGTGGGTGCAGATATCCCTCCCCCAAAGTTCCATCTGATGTCATAGACTTGGTAAAGTTAGGCCTTGACACCCTTCTACGCTACCCTGGGGTCTCCCATTCCCCCAAACCCAGGGGTTGGGCTTAAATGTACCGCTGAGGGCTGCCCCAGAGCTTCCTGTCCCTTAAGGAGACTCACCCATTATGCTCTGACTCTGGGGTAGCCTGTGACACGGCCAGGTTTTAAACTACTGAGAGCCTCTATGTTGCAAAATTTCTCTCTCTGCTGAGTCTTTCTAGAGATTTGAAGAATAAACCCATGAACCACATGGATAAGCAACAGGAGAGAGTTTATTGGCAGGGAAAGGAACAGAGAAGGAAAGAAGGGCAACAGAACCTCTAGCAGCTGGATGGGGTGGGGCCAAACGGGAAGCCCCTGCGGGGTTTTTCTGTCTGGGGGGGCTCAAATGCTGCCTGCCAGCAGGAGGTTCTGGGGAATGTCTGTCACACTTGGCCAGGAGCCAGCAGACAGAAGACACCCTGCCCAGTGTGGATTAGTAAATGAACGTATTAGCAAGCGAATACAATCCTCACAGTTCCTGTCCCAAGTGAGGTGGAGGATGTATGTTTTTCACTCCATGGGGGACCACCCAGATGACATCAGCCTGCTTTTCTTTGATCTTGCTTGAATCCAGAGAATGTGGTCTGAAAAGGCTTCTTTGCCCCGCCTAGAAAATGGGAGTCCCTGTCC